ACCATCTTGATGCAAATTTGTAGGTGGAAAAGGGTTAGAAAATTGAATGTTTAAATCAGGAGAGTTGGGGAGGGGTTACTTGGGCATGAACACAGGACAGAAGCTGTATTGGAATAAACAGTGCAGTTTGAGGAAACTGGCAATGAGCATGTTTGTCATATGATCTAAAAATATCTTTTAAACCTTGGGTTTTTAAAGCCCGTGTTTAACTTGGCAGCGTATCACCAGCTGTTTGTTGGGACAGAAAGAATTCGGGCTCCAGAGATTATCTTCCAGCCATCTCTCCTAGGCGAAGAGCAGGCTGGGATAGCGGAGACCCTTCAGTACATTCTGGACAGGTGAGACTGAAACTTCTATTTTTTTCCCCGAACCACTTCCTTGGCTTTGAGTGGTACATTTGATGGTCAGGCATTGGAAATCTCTCTCACACTCTCTCTCTCATTGACTTGCTGTGCTCAGATAGTACTCTCGCCAGGCCTTTAGGTTTGAGCAACGTGGTAACAACACATTGTTTGCGGATAGTTTTTATCACGCGCTAACAGGTGGCGCGGGCCATTTTTGCTAATTTTTGCGCAAATGGCAACGTTCAGTAAAATTACGATAACTTTAGTTTACGTATTTATACGTTACCTGCATTCTACCACTAGTCTATAAAAAACGTATTAATACGTGTCCCGCGCTCTACTACCAGCCAACATAAAACGTGTAAGTAAAACGTATAAATACGTTTCCCGCATACAGTGTGGTAATGTATGTGCACTGGCTGTCGTATAAACCTTCACATTGAAGACTAGTGATTGTAAATTACCCAGAAATGTGCAGAACTTATAAGTCTTTTTTCCTCCTTGTAGACATTTATTTAGGAGTTTGCATTTCTATAAAAGCGTGCTTTCCCCCCTCCCATTTATACAGGCATTTTCCTGCAGTGTGAGTTTTCATAATTCAGTTGGGACAAGTAAGGGAGATGACTTTTGGTACTGTGGCTGCTGTTGGATAAACAGGATGGGAACTTACAGCTAGCAAGGAAGAAAAGCTATTGCAGCTGCTTTGAATGGCTGTCAGCTTGGTCTAACAGTGGGTGGGAAAGTGGCCAAACATGTATATGATAAAACTGTTACTTAAAAAAAAAAGCAGAGGTAGAGAGATGGACTCTCAAAAGGGAGGCGAGACTTCTTGGGGTGATAGAAATGTTTTTTATGTAGAGCAGTGATTCTCAACCTTCCTAATGCCGCAACCATTTAATACAGCTCCTCAGGTTGTGGTGACCCCCAACCATAAAATTATTTTCGTTGCTACTTCATAACTGTAATTTTGCTACTGTTATCAATCATAATGTAAATATCTGATATGCAGGATGTATTTTCATTGTTACAAAGTAAACATAATTAAAGCATAGTGATTAATCACAAAAACAATATGTAATTATATATGTGTTTTCCGATGGTCTTAGGCGACCCCTGTGAAAGGGTCATTCGACCCCTAAAGGGGTTGCGACCCACCGGTTGAGAACCACTGATATAGAGTGTGGTGATGATGGTTGCTGGGTATATAGTTTACCAGACTTCCTCAAAATGTGTGTAAATCAAACCTCAATAAAATTAGTTTTTAAAAAACACGTGTTAGAAAGGCACAGAACTTCCAATCATGCTAAGGAAATGAATTCACCACTCAAAATAAGGTTTTGACTAGATATTTAGCATTCTGTAAAGATGCAAATGAAAATTGGAAGTTTTTAAAAAACTTGTACAGATATTTTGTCTTTTGTACTGAGAGCTTACATTTCCACATGTACATTCTCTTCTGATATTCAAGTTATAGGGACCGTGGCAGAGTAATCTTTTCTCTCCTAGGTACCCAAAGGACGTTCAGGAGGTGCTGGTTCAGAACGTTTTCCTCACTGGCGGGAACTTGATGTATCCTGGCCTAAAAGTTAGAATCGAAAAGGAACTGTTGGCAATGAGACCCTTTCAGTCATCTTTTCAGGTACTGATTGATAATGTAACCAGCTGTTTCTTGTGTGTGTGGTTTTTTAAAAAATATATATTTTTATTAATTTCAGAGAAGATAGGAGAGGGAGAGAAAGAAATATCAACAGTGAGAGAGAATCATTGACTGGCTGTGTCCTGCCACCTACTGGGGATCGAGCCCGCAACCCCAGCATGTGCCCTTGGCTGGAATTGAACCTGGGGGGACTCTTCAGTCCACAGGCTGACGCTCTATCCACTGAGCCAAACCAGCTAGGGTTAACCAGCTGTTTTGAAAATAGCATTAATTATTTTGTTTTCTGGTTGCAAAAGTAGTAAGTAAAGTATAAATGAGAAAAATTACTGTATAATCTCATCACTCAGAGATAGCCACTGTTAAACATTTTTATGGCTTTCCTTCTGGTCTTTCATTTATGTTTAATTTTAAAAGCAGAATGAAAATCATGTTTTATATATATATTTTATTGAAAAAGGAAGCCATGCATATAGTAAAAGGCAGAGGATACGAAAGATTGTACATGGAGAATAAATCATTCTCCTCACTTTGGGAGCAGCATCTTCTCTGCTCTCATTTTAGAGGCTTATTTGCCACCATTGGCCAGAGCTGCCTCATATTAGGCTCCACTTTCCTCTGCTCCCCTCTGCTTGCAGAGAGGGGATTGAGGCCAGGAAGGCCTTTCCTCCAGGCTGAGTGCCAACTCAGCCTCCCTCTCCATTTGACAACTTGTGGTTAACATCACTGGAGCAGGAGGCGGGGCAGCTGGTCCCTCTCTGACCCAGAGTGGCAGATCTTATGTTCATAAGTTAGCTGACCACCGGCTGTTCTGTGAGGTCAAGTCTGCTAGGGTTTGCATGCTTGTGTCACTTGGAGAGTCGGGGGCATTTCAGCTCAGCAGAGTTTGGAGGGTGCAGAGATAGAATTCATTGGGTCCTCCTGTGTGTGTATTTCTGGGGATGAAGAGTAGGGGGATGTGGCTGGGCCTGCTGAGCATTCACTCCTTGAGTCCTGATGGAGACGGCCTTCTGGTGAATGTTCTCTGTGTCTCAGGTTCAGCTTGCCTCTAACCCTGTGCTGGATGCCTGGTATGGTGCTCGGGACTGGGCCTTGGACCACCTGGATGACGATGCCGTCTGGATCACCAGGAAAGAATATGAAGAGAAGGGAGGAGAGTACTTCAAGGAGCATTCTGTTTCCAACATCTACGTCCCCATCCACCTGCCAAAGCAGGCTTCACGCTCCTCTGAAGCCCAGGCGTCAGGCAAAGGCTCAGGGGCCAGTGGAGGCAGTGCTGGTGAGCAGGCATAACAGAGGGGCCCCTCTCGGATCTTGGGCCATGTCGGCTAGTGTGACAGGACAGTGACTGTGCTAGATGTGTCTGGCCCAAGTCTGCTGGGAACATTGGGCTGCAAGATGGATTTCTCCTGGGGAGAACATGAAGGGACACTGGGAGTTACCCTCTAAAACTTTCCCTTCCTCTGGGGGCTTCTGCAGTGAAGAAACTTCCAGTGACTTGGTGTCTTTGTTGAACCACGATGAGCGGTAGTATCTGCTGCCTACAGTAGTAAATGAAGACAGTGGAGGACAGAAATGCCCTTATTTGTTACTGCATTTTAAATCCCTTTTTGTTTTCAAAAACGTTTAAAATGTATATTGTCAGTGTAGATATTTTTCTACATTTATTCAGAAGTTGTGTGAATGCCCAGCAGTTTGAGGTCTTCCACATACATGTAAAAAGATAATATTTATGTAATCAGAGTTCTCCACAAAACCTCAGGAGCTGTGAATATTTCTCTTTTCCTATTACTTCCTCTTTCAAATGAGAGAAAAGGGCCCAAAGAGGGAAATCAGGTTGTACAGTGTAAGTCTGGTAGGGGCCTGCGTGGCGCCCACTTCCGAATGGGCAGAAATGGGGTCTTGGTCCAGCTTTTGTTCAAACTTTTTTTGCTGGAAACTTTTCCAGCACATGAGACCTTCCTACAAATTTTTAAAATTTTGTGCTTGTGTGTTTTGGCTGCGTAACATTTTCTGGCCTTTCTAAAGAAAGAAGTGGGCTGGAGAAGGTTACTCCTCTGTAGCCTTTTCAGTGTTGCCATACCTCATTCCCTGCACCTTTGTAGCTCCATCTTAGGTGGACAAATGACCCCTCTCTTTTACAGAGATTGCTTGGTAAGAGGTTTAACTCTCAGACACCCAGTAATTGAGCCCAGAAGGCCCCTGAGATGCTAGTGTCCTGTCTCAGGGTCCGTACATTTCAGTGCCATGGAGCCTCTAGCTCTGATGCCTCTGATGAGGCCACCTCAGCACCTGTTTGCTCAGTTTACCAAGGGCGAGCACCTGGAACTCCACTCTTAGGGGCCTAGAAACTGAAGACCAGGAGGGGGCAGTGGTGATTGTGAGAAGGAAGAAAACTTGGGCCGACTCAAGATCTCCCACGCGTTGCTAGTGAGCCACTGGCCGTCCAAGCTTGGGCCCACGGACTGATGATCTGGTAATAACCATGAGCTGCTAAGAAAGGATAGGTGCAAAGAAGGCAAAAGCAGCCTCCATGTGAGAAAGATTTTCCTAGCACATTTCCAGGGCTCGGTCCCTAGTGTGGGGCGTGCAGGAGGCAACCCATCAATGATTAATTGCTTTTGACCTGGAGTCTTTTCCCCATCGTCAACAGTTTAAACAGCCTGAACAGCAGTGGTGAGTGGTCAAGATGGCCATGGAAGTCAAGCTGCCCTGAAGGGGAAGGTCCCTCAGTGGGCAGGTAAGCTGGGACACATCAGTAAAACAGGTGTTTGTCCTCGTAAGGGTTCATGTCGACTCAGGGAATTGAGGTCAGGGCAACTCTCAGGGGTGGCCTCTTAGGGCCATCAGGACTCCTTTCTCTGGCTAAAATGTAGTAGGGGGTATCCCCTACAGCCCACTTATGCTGTCCCTGCCTCCCACTGGCACCCGTGGAAATAAACAGTTTTGCCAAAGGAACAAATAAGGGAAAAATGTATGAAAGTAGAAGTTAAAAGTAAAATAAGCGCCGAAACCGGTTTGGCTCAGTGGATAGAGCGTCGGCTTGCGGACTGAAAGGTCCCAGGTTCGATTCCGGTCAAGGGCATGTACATGGGTTGCGGGCACATCCCCAGTGGGAGATGTGCAGGAGGCAGCTGATCGATGTTTCTCTCTCATCGATGTTTCTAACTATC